ATCTATCTATCTATCTATCTATCTATCTATCTATCTATCTATCTATCTATCTATCTATCATCTATCTACCTACTTTGTGGCATATTCTGCTTTGCTTCTGCTGTGATAAAACCTTGACCCAAATCAACTTGGGAAGGAAAGCGTTTATTTCATCTTAGAAGCCCATCTGTGGAAGGAAGGAGCTTGAGACAGGAGGCAGGAACTTAAGCAAAGACCGTGGAGGAGTGCTGCTTACTGGCTTGCTCTTCATGGCTTGCTCAGCCTGCTGTGTTGTACAGCCTAGGATCATCTGCCCAGGGGCGGCTCTCCCACATCCGCAAGGCTCTCCCACATCCGTCATTAACCAAGAAATTACCTCACAGATGTGCCCATAGGCCATGGTGATAGAGGTAAATCCTCAATTGAGGATCCCTCTTCCCAGGTAGCTCTAGTGTGTGTCAGGTTGTCAAAATATAGCCAGCACAGTGTATATGCAGATGTCAGAGGAGAATTCTGGGGAGATAGTTCTTTTTTCACAGGGGGTTCCAGAGAATGAACCTAGGTCATCGATCTTTCACAGTTAGTGCTTTCACACACTGAGCTGTCATGTAGGCATCCGTAAGCAAAAAGAGTGGTTTATGAGTGTCACCAGTAGGTGATAGAACTACATGAGGACTGAAAGGACTGAAAGGCTGGTTCACAGCCACCGGTCAGGTTCGAAGACAGGAAAGTAATTAGGACAGGACGGTCCTGTTACTTTCTGGTGAGTATAGGCTATGTTCTAAATCCTAGCTAATCTCTGGGATCAAGGCATTGTAGATAAACAGTGTAAATTTATTACAGTTCCTGAGAACTACTGAAGACTTACGTGTTTACATGTATATATACATACATATGTGTGTCCATGTTGTTCATGAATTGTTACTGTGGCTCACTCAGAATATAGTGACCCATGTTCCTTCCTAGAATAATGAAGCAGATAAAGCCTTCAAGGCCTACTGAGCTAGAATCACAAACACTGGTACAAGTCCCAATTCAGCTGCTGCTTTGGTATCTATGATGAGCCATTCAGTCAGTTTCTATGCTAGTGTCCTAATTCGTAATATTGGCTTTTACTATAATTGCCTACACTATAAACACCAGTGTTACCATGGTTCTAAATATGGAGGCATATTTGAAAACATGGCCTCCGTAGGTGACAAATCAAGTTCCTAGGACATGTCCTTTTAGATTAACAATGCCAAGTACAGTGGTCAGTGTGTTGTAGCAGGCCTCTGAGAGTGAGAGTCATATTCCAGTTTAATGGTACTCCCAAGATAGGGCTGTAAGTTCATATGGACTCCAACTGGGCCCAAAGTCTCTAGCTGGTAAGTGTTCTCCAACTGTGGTGGTTCAAATAGGTATGGCGCCTAGAGACTCATGTGCTCAAATGCTTGGCCCATGGGGAGTAGCACTATTAGAAGGTGTGGCCTTGTTGGAGTAGGTGTGGCCTTGTTGGAGGAAGTGTGTCACTATGGGGGCTGGCTTAAAGGTCCCCTATGCTCAAGCTCTGACCAGTGTGGAATAGTCTCCTGATGCCTTTGGATTAAGATGTAGAACTCTATACTCTTCCAGCACCATGTCTGCCTGCATGCTGCCATGCTTCCTGCCATGGTGATCTGGAGTAAGCATCTGACATTGTAAGCCAGCCCTAATTAAATGTTTACACACACACACACACACACACACACACACACACACACACACACCACGAGCTGCCTTGGTCATGATGTCTCTTCACAGCACTAAAACC